TGGGGTCTGGGAATTAGCTCAACAGCTTCCAGATCCACACAAACATGGAGCAAGACAGAGCCACCTCCCCGTGCATGGAGCTTTTGCGCTGTTGCCTCCAACCGATGTTCCCCACCTGCACACAGACTGTCTTCCCTTCATCCTCCAATTTTCCTGATTTTTTTCTCCTCCATTTCTCCTCTTCTCTAACAGCAGGGCAGCCTGGGCAGCACAGGAGGGGAGACAAACCTGAGGCATACATCTCAAACCCCTCACACTGCTCTTCCAGCTTTTCACCACACACAGAGACCTTTATTTCCCCCAAAAATTCTGCTTTGTCACAAGGACAACTTGTGATGATCATCCTAGGGAAGACCAACAATAGCTCCCACTATGCCAGAGGCTGGTTCTCTGGGAAATTCTCCTTTAAAATACACAGTGAAAAGCAACATTTATCACAAGAAAAGGAGAGAGAAAAAACGTCCAAAAATTGTCACATGTTGCCTGAACAAAGGATTTCAGCCAATTCTGAAGACAAGGTATTTTAGTTCCAAGGGATGGTTGAAGACAAAAAGGAATTACACTCTTGACTTGTCTTCACAAGGACATGTCTTCAGATTTATCTTAACCCGGAGGAGTGAACGAGCAGCTCCTAAATTAATAGGGAAATTCATCGTGCCCTCAGAGCACCTGCTGTAATTTCAGGGAGGGAAGGGGGAATCTGCTATTCCTCTAGAAAATACAGCCTGATTTCCCTGTTTTAAAGTGGGAAGGGAAAAAAAAAAAAAGAGATAAACTAAAACTTAGCTTAATCTTAAGGCTGAAACAAGTCTCAGCCTTAAGAATCACTCTCCTCTTACCTTGCCCACCATGCCAGAGGAGGAGGACAATGGCTCCAGCCTTATTCCTGAAGTGTCCAATGCAAGGCTGGATAGGGCTTGGAGCAACCTGGCATAGTGGAAGGCGTCCCTGACCGTGGCAGGGGGTGGAACTGGAAGAGCTTTAAGGTCCCTTCTTTAAGGACGCAAACAATTTTGGAATCCTGTGATTGTCACCATCACTGGGTCACAGGTAACATCCCAGCTTCGCTCTGCCTGGTGTCCAAGGGGGTGGGAATTATTAACTACAGCCACTAAAGCTTAAAACAAGTATTTTTTTTGCCAGCTGAGCAGGTGGAGAGGTCTGACAGCTTCATCCCTTAAAGCCCCTGAGGTGATTTTTGGGTGGCATCCATGGCTGCCCACCTGCAGAGCCAGGGGACCATCCCAGCCAGGCATCCCCATCCCCAGCGCCACTCCAGGCCCCCAGCTCCCGGCCCCGCAGGTTCCTTGGGAGCGATCAGGTGGCAGCGTCCAATTTCCTCATTGTTTCAGGAGGTGTTTTCTGATGGGAAAGGTGAAAAGGGGATTTGTGAGCCTTGTAAACCGATTCCTCTGAGTTGGGTAAACAACGGGAGCTCTGTTGGCAGCAGGATGCCGCGATGCCGGAGCAGGGAGATGGGATTAAAGTGCAGCCTCTCCTGTGCCCTGAGTTGGGGGGCTGTTGGTGGGGCCTCAATCCCTTGCAGAGCCTCCCTCACTTCCCCTTGGGGGTCCAAAATTCTGATGGAGGGACTGGGGACTACAGGTGGGACCTGCTGGAAGAGCCATGGACTCAGCCAGGGCCCAGTGTGGCAGGCTTCCCAGAGAGGGTTTGCTGGGACAGGAGGAAGAACAAGCTAAGGAGGAAAAGTTTGGCCAGAGCAAGATTGGGAGCCATACTGGGAATGATACCCCACTCCTCCACACCCTCCTCCCCCCATGCAGGCACCTCTCCTCCATGTGGCACACATGGATAGACATGGATGAGCCAACACATCTCCAACAATCTAGCAGATACAAAGATCCTGCAGGAAAGTCATCTGGAACCTTAAAATCCAGCAGTCTTTCAGCTCTTCATTCGGGAAGATCAAAAAATGGCTTAAAAATACAATTTTTTAAAAGAATGGGTTGACACATTTTCCAACTGCTCTCCCCCTGGATCCAGGCATTCCTTGCACCACATCAACCACAAAATCTCTGAGGCAACATCACCTTTCCCCACGTCCACAGCATACGATGCCCCTCACCTGATTTCAGGCTTGGCAGAAACAGAACAACATTTCCCAAGAACCTTCTCCTTGGAGAAGATGTTCTAAAGCTGACGCTGACATACATATAAGATGACATATGCTAAATGCTGTTTGCTTCAAAGAAATCCAAAAATAACTGGATCTTACATGGAGGACGTGTATGTCTGGCAGGGAAGGCTGACAGTGCCCAGCAGAGCGAGACCTGCAGGAGCTGGGAGGTTTTCCTGGTGTCTGGGCAGCTGAAGCCCCCATGGGCCCAGCTCTCCACACCAACAGAGCATGTGAGTTCTTCCAGATGGATCACAGCTCCCACTGACCGGGAATCTCCTCAAGGAAGGGATGGGAAAGGGCCAGATCCAGTAAAAAAGCCAAAGCTCCATGTTCAAACTGGGTGTGGGATCCTGAAAAACTCCTGAACCCTGCGATTTGCTGGTGCCCAGCCACACATCAATCCAATCCTGCCCACTCTGCCTCACTCATCCAAGCTTCCCTGGGACACAGCAGCCATGCCCAGGCACTGGGGACTCTCTGCCACAAGAATCAGTCCTGTCCCTGAGCTGTTTTCCAGACCCCGATGTCACAGAGACACATCACACTCCTGCCATTGGAGGGTCCCTGCACAGCTCGTCCAAAGCTCCCGTGGTGACACCCAGCCACCTCTGCCCTTGCCTCAGTCTGTATTTTCACCAAAAAAGAGAACTGAGAGGTTACTAGTAAAAACTGGAACCTAACTTAGGTGAAGTGGGATGTCACAGGTCAAACAGCATTACCAGACAGGACAACCACATGGTCCTCAGGGAGCTTGAGAGGAGAATATCAGCCAACCCCTGAGGTTCTCCTGCTGACACCAGGAGGTGTCAGCGAGACAGTGCAGCCCCCACTTCCCTCACTTCACCTCTCCAGAGCAGAGGACAATCAAACCACAGGAATTACACCTAATCCCAGAGGCCCACCTGATCCCAGAACACCACCAACATCCACAGCCCTTCCCCAACGTGGTGCCAGTACACAGAGGCACAGCCCCTTTCTCCTATTTGACTCCCATTCAGCTCTTGGGAACAAAAATACTCCGTGGAAGGAAGTTAATTACAAGTGGAATGAAAAGGTTCCTCCTTCTGTATCTGTCGCCTTCTCACTCGTCCATCGCACTGCTCATCGCCACAGAGGGTAAATAGGAGCACACGAACCCCCATGCTCTCAGATCCCACTCCTTTCATGTGCTCCTCTATTATTAGTCTCCTTTAGAACAGCCTGCCATCTTTTTTCCCCCTGCTAATCTATGGATAATTATTTTCCTTGCCCTTCAGCAGCCCTCTTCTATTTCTGCTCTATCCTTTGGAGCTGAGGTGGCCACACAGATCCAGCAATTCCAGGTATCTGAAAGCAGCTCATATCTCCTTCACTCCTTTGGTCTCTGCTGTTCAAGGGGATATTTTTCACTTTCCAGCCCCCCCAGCTCCTCACCATGCTGGGAGAGGGAACAGCCTCTGCTGAGCCCCTCCGGGGCCGGCCTGTCCAGTCCCCCTCCCAGATACACTCTATGGCCCTTTTTTTTTCCTCATCTCGGGTTTAATGAGGCCCATTCAACCCTCCCAAAGACAAAAGGCCCTTCTCGTTTCCAAACGGATTTACACGACGCATCAGTGAGGCATAAACGGGTCTCCATGGCAACGCTCACCGACCCCCCCCACCCCCAGCTCTGGGATGCCATTTTCCAACTCTGCTGCTCCCCAAAACCCTTTTGTTGCTTCCCTGCCAGCTGGGAGGCTCCTTGCAAGCTGGTAACCCCCCAGCCCACACCTCCGGGTACCAGGGGTGACATTTTTTGAGGTGAACTTACAAGATGCCCACGCCAGTGTTGCCCTGGCACAGGTGCCCCAGAAAGCTCCACGCTGTGACCGACTCTGGGTCATGGTCAAGCCAGGGTTGGGACTGAGAGGAATGGATGGAAACATCACGTGCAGGGGAAAACAAACTCCAACTGCCCCTCTCTGCCCAGAAAGGGGCGTGATGCCCAAGGCAGTGTGGTCTGTCCATGCTCAAACACCAGCCCCAGTCACGGTGTGGCTCCCAGCACCTCTCCACAGGAAAACCGGTGGCTCTGGGGATTTCCATGGCTTTGGCACTCCAGTGCTTCACACAAAGGTTTGGCAAACAGGACCCTCATGTCCAACATTGGACTGTAACTCTCCCCAAGCAGCCTCAAACACTGAAGGCTGAGAGAGCACCTTGCTTACCCTGAGCAGCCCTGGAAGCAGGGAAGTGAGATTCAGGGAATGTGGGATGCAGAGCAGGTCTCACTGTAGCTCCCTGCGCTTTGTTCACATGTTGTAATCACTGCCATAGCTCTGAAGACCAAGCCATTACCCAGCATCTGGGGGACACACCAGAGAGCCAACTTTTTCAGGAAAATACCCACCACTGCTGGGTTTCTCAAGCAGGAAGTCAGGACCAGGATCCTGGTTTCAACCGCAAACTTGCAGCTTGTGGACAGGTCTGATTTCCCCTGCTGCAGTCCAGACCCCTTCTCCTACCACCAGCCAAGAGCAGAGGAGGGTTCCAGATATCAGGATGCTGGGAGAACAGGTCAGCAGGCTTCAGGAAAGCTGGCATGGATGCTGTGAGATGCCAGTCACACCTCAGCACCCACAGGCAGCGGCTGCCACCACAGCTGGTGACATCCCTGGCCCCAGTGACTCAGCCCTCCTGTGGCACAGCAGGGCTGCAGGAAGGGCTTTCTCCCTCAGCTATCCCCATAATTACAGCATGGCCGGGGAGAGTATCCAAGTGCCAGACTCCCCACCAGCCCCAAGGAGGGTGACAGATCACCACCACCAACGGCAGTGCCCACAAAAGGAGAATGTGCTCCTTTGTCCCACTGCAGGCTCGGCCAGGATGTATCCTGATGCCAGTCCATCACTTCCAGGGACAGCTGCTGACCACCCTCATGCCCCAAGGAGGAGGAAGAAGAGAAGGGGGAGCAGAGGGAAGGCTCCCAGCCCATAGAGCAGCCAGGCCTGCCGGGAGCAGCCATGTGCTGCTCCATCCTCCCAAGTCCGCGCACACTCTATGCACCCGGACGTTGCACCAGAAAGATCTCAATGCAAACCTAGTGAGGGGGGGAACAAAACCTGCTGCTAATTGAGGGATTTTGGAGTAGATTTAATTAGGGCCAGAGCACTGGCGCAGGCTGCTGCTGCCACCTGCAGCACTCTCCGCAGCCGCTGGCGTGGGCTCTGGGGACTCCAGGCTCCCGCCCAGGCCTGCCTGGGGTCCAGACAGGGAATGAGGAACCCCGCGAGTCCCGCAGGCTCACCCCCCTCACACACCCACCCCCACAAACCCGTTATTTCCCAGCACAATAAGCACCTCCAGCAGCGACGGAACCAAGGGCTCGGCCAAAAAATAAAGAGGAAGAAAAGCCATATTTTCTCCCTGGAGTCGGATCGTCCCGATCTCCCCTCGGAGGAATCAAGAGGGGCCGAGTTATCTAATTAATGCTGGCAGAAGCGGGAGGCCGAGGGCTGGGGGGCGGCGGCGGCCCACAAAGGCGGCGTGGGGAGCGGTCTCCCCGCCGCCGCCGCCGGCATCCCCCGGCAATGGGGCCCCACGCTGGGAGTGAGGTAAGAGGGGATTCAAAGGGGGGTTTGTCAGGGGTTTTGTTTTTGGAAACGGGGGAGGGGAAGGGGACAGGGCTTGACAAGAGCTGACAGACAACTGAACAAAACCATAAGGGCTATGAATGGCAACACGACGCTTTAATTGGCGTAGGAATGGAGAGAGAAGTGAGACAATGAGGCTGGGCGGTGGTGGCAGTGGGCACTCACCTTCTCCTACCCGCACCCCAATCCCTACCCCAACAGAGGTTGGCAGCTGGAGGCCGCGCCATGACCCCCGTGCCAAAAAACACCACCTAAAACCCACAGGGAGAACATGGAGGCAGAACAACAGAGCCCAGCACACGTCAGGCATCACAAAACCCTGACGGCACAATCCCGGCCCCGGGATGCTGCAGGTATTAAATGATCCGTCGGAAACAGCTCGTGTTCCCGCTCGGCTCGGTGTGTTTTCCGGCTTCGGTTTGGCCACTCGTGCCCTGGCCACAGCCCCGCTCATCCGGAGGACGGGGCCGGGAGGGGGAGAGAGGGAGAGGCAGGTTAAAAGGGAACACGGTTGGATCAGCGGGGTTCCCACTCCTTCCCTGACCCCTCCGAAATAAAACGGAGGAGAGTTCGTCTCCCGGTCCAAAGCAAAGAATTACTTTGGCAGGGGCTGCGGCGGGGCCGGGCGCCCACTTGGAAGGGAAAGCAGCAGGAATATGCCCAAGGAACCCAAGACAAGCCCTCCCCGCCAAGCCCTGCTCATTGTCATGCAGATCAACCCCAGTCGGGACAGAACGGAGGCAAATTGCAGCCCCCCCTTGCCAGAGCAGGGCTGGGGGCACAGGGAAGGGCAGGTGGGGGGTTCAGCACATCAGATCTGACACAAAACCTGGTGTTTTCCAAGATCCCCTCTCACTTTTCAAGATTAGTTGGAAAAAAAAGAATGGAAAGCTAAGAGCCAAGAGCTGAAGTTACAGCTGGCCTTAGGAGAGAAGGAGCCCCTTCCTTCCTGAGCCCCAGGACCTGACACCCCACATAACCCTGCACCCCACAAACACAGTTTAGAGCCAGGAGTCTCAAAATTCCCCATGGGACAGTAACTGGGTGCTCCTCCTGCTGCATTCCAAGAGGTATAAGAGGGCTCCCCAAATCCCTCAACTTCCTACTTTACTGGCCACCTCCCAAAGCAAGGGAGAGGAGCCACCAGCCTCACCATTTTTCTGAGAAATACCAGAAAAATAAAGCCCAGATATGTCCTGGGGAGCAACAGAAACCACAAGATCTCCTGGATTTCCCCTGGCTCCCAGAAGTCCCTCACTGTGTCCCAGGGCTTAGGTTTCCATGCCTGGAGATCCCATTGAAGGCTGGGACACAGTTCCAGAGCACCCACCCAGGTCCCTGGGGCTCTGGCTCAGCCCAGGGATGCAATGCTGCGGTTTGAAGGATTAATCCCAATGTTAGGAACTGGGCAGGGAGGAGCAAACCCTGCGGAGGGTTCCCCATCCCAGCTGTGGGATGCCCTGCCCTGCCCTGACAGGTCTCCCGGGTTTCGCCAGCCCTGCCAGCCCCTGGTCCCAGGGGAGCAGCGTCACCCCCACCGCGCCGCCCTGACTCACAGCGGGCCCCTTTGATCCCCCGGCTCCGGAGTGGCCAAACGAGTTCTGGCATTCCAGCTCTGGCTCCCGTCTGGAAGCGCCATCTTCCCAGGCAGCTGCAAACCACCAGCCCTCATCAGCCCCAGCATTACTGGGAACTTGTTCGGCTGCCACCGGCACTGCGGGGTTATTAAGAGCTTCCCAAACCTCATCCCAACACAGGCCATGTGCACATCTGCCCACAGCTGCCCACTCCAGCTAGAAGAGACCCTGATGACCATCCAGTTCCAACCCTGCCATGGGCAGGGACACCTTCCACTTGTCCAGGTTGCTCCAAGCCCCATCCAACCTGGCCTGGGGCACTTCCAGGGACCCAGGGGAAGCCACAGATTCTCTGGGCACCTGTGCCAGGGCCTCACAGTTCTCACAGGAAGGAATTTCTCCCCAATATTCCATCTAACCCTGCCCTGTGGCAAGTGGGAAGCCATTCTCCCTTGTCCTGTCTCTCACCCAAAGTCCCTCTCCAGCTGTCCTAGAGCCCGTTTAAGCACTGGAAGGAGTTCCAAGGTCTCCCTGGAGCCTTCCCTTCTCCAGGCTGAACCAGGTCACCGCATGTTCCTCACTCCCACACCAATCCCACCACCGGCTCGCTGCACTCAGCTGCCCCAGACCTTTGGCCCAGCTCCACAGGGGTGGATGGGGCTGGGTTAGGTCAGGGAGAAAAAGCTGAAGATGAGTCACAGGACCTCAAAAGTTCATTTGTTCTCTCCCCTCTTGTCCTCCTGCGCATAACAGCCATCACCAAAGCCTGGAAAGCCAGCTCTGCCGGGAAGCTGGATCCAGTCTCCTCCTCCAGCCCTGCTCTGGATGCCACTCAGCAGGGCATAAACTGCCCCCTTTCCCCCAGAACCTGTTCCCAGTGCTGCCCACACCCCTCTTTACTGGGAGGTCCTGTTCTGGAACAACAGCCCAAATTTTCGCCATATCTACACTAAAAAGACCCTCCTAAAGGTTTCAGCACTGGAAAGAGTTGGGACACTCTTGTGGTCCCCCTCAGCACCCCTTCCACTGCTCCCAGTTTACCCAGCTGAAGGCTGATGGGAAGGGCAGCAGCTGAGGGAGGGGCCAGGAGAGAGGCCAGAACAGCACAGGAGTCTCAAGTTTTAATCCCTCCTCCAGTACAAAGTGATCTGGCTTGTACTTGCTTTTATTTTTAGGCCAGATTTACATGTACAGCTGAATTTCCATCCAATGTGAAACTTCCAACTGGGAATGGAAGAAGAGAGGAACCAGGACCCAGCCAGTGATCTCGATACTGGTGCTCCTTTCCAACTCCAAAGATGTCACCAGACTCTGCCGGGACACACAGCTCCCACTCCCAGAGGGAGCTTTCACAAGGCACTAAGCAAAGCTCATGTTTAAACCTAAAAATAACCCAGCCCTTGGGCCTGGGGAGGAGGAGGGCAGAGCACCCAGCCTGTCCCGCTCCAGCGCCAGCAGTTTCCAATTGCCTGCGGACGGGGAGTGTTCCCAATCCTCCCCCCGAGACGAAATCCTCCGCCTTGCCACCCACACTCATGGAAGAAAACTGGCGAGAGCCGCAGGAGAGACCAAAGTCTCCCCCAACCACATCCTGCCCCCCTGCTTTGCTGCCAGATGCGATCCCCCAGAGCCTTGTCCCAAGATCCCACTAGCTCCAGCGTTCCCAGCAGCGCTCCTCGCCACACTCAGCGTGTGCCACCGGGCTGGGGCCACGTCACAGCCATGCCACCACGCTGGGAGCCTGACGGGGCTGATGCCACCACTGCAGCAGGAGTTCATTCCAAGGCTGGTGTCTGTCTGTCCTGCTGGGGCAGAGCCCGTTCCCAATCCCCAACACAGAGCGATCCTCAAACCCACCAGAGCTGTGGGTTTGGAGCAATGGTTTTGGGGTGTCCCCTAGAAGAGGGGGTCCTTTATCCTGGCTTGGGAAAACCCCAAGGCAGCACCACCAGTGCTGTTGCAGGTCCTCCCCACCCTGTCCTGCAGCCCCTGTCAGGACTCACCCACACAAATCCCTCACCAGACTCCAAATCTCCATCCCGACCCTCAGCTCCTCCATCCTGCCCTGCAGCTGCCACCCCCTGGCAGGATTCAACCCACAAACCCCCCGCTGCACCCCAAATCTCCTCTCCGGCCTCCAGCTCCTCCATCCCTTTCCTGCTTCCCTCTCCCAGCAAAGCCCTTCATAGGGCTCTAGCTTCCAACTATCCCACTCCACTCCAACTCCCTCAATCCATTTAAGTCTTTCTTTGCATGTAAGGTGTTTTTTTCTTTGCCTTTCTCTTTTTTTAACTTATTAAGGAGAAAGTTCAAACCATTGGCAGTGTCTGCGACGCACTAATTTGGAACTTAGTGCGGTGTCGACATTGCATTAAGTATTTCTGTCAACCATGAGGACACACCATGTCTGTGTAAGAAATTACACCAGCAATTATAGCTAAAGAGGCATGTAAAATTTAAAAAAAAAAAATTAATGTATTCAGAAATGATAACTGACATTCTTATTAGGATTAATCTAATTTTAGTAGACTCATTTATATCCTGCCTCTGGATAAAAAATGAGTTTCAATTTTAAAACCTGGATAAAAAGTGGCATTTTTTAAAAAAGTACTTTTAGAAGTCACCCTGCATGATTAAGCAGGATGATAATGCGAGGAAGCTTAACAAAAAGCTGTGCCATTAAAGGAGATATTTGTTAAACAAAACAGAAGCAGAGATATTTATCAAGCCCAGGAGATTATTCCAGGGTAACTCTGGACCTGGCACTGCTGGGTGTTGCTTGCGGTCTCAAGTTAATGGAGAGAAAATTGGGAATGGCAGATAACGGGATGGAACAGGAGTTTTGGCGGGCACATCCTGCACCAGCAAGCCAGGGAATGGCAGCACTGGGGAGAGCCATCCATAGGCTGGGTGAGACTGTGCCCCACTGGGCATGGATAATACTATGGCAAAGCACAGGAGTCACTCACAGACTGGGAAGAAAAACCCCGAAAGGTGAGCCAGTGGCACATATCCAAAAAAGAAAGAACACGAGATGGAACACCGAGGTCCTTCCGGAGGTTTGCTGAACACCAAGTGGGGCTCGGCCCGTTCCAGCATGGCCCAGACCCCCTCCACGGCTGCTGGTACAAAAGGTGCCCCTGGCCTCAAGCTCTGGTGTTGGCATGTTTTAACTCCATGGCAATGGATGCTTTGATTGGCACAGGTTCTGGCAGAGCACAGCAGTGTCTCTTCTCCCTGTGCCAGCCCACCACACACTTCCTGCTACGTCCATCTCCAGCAACCCCTCACCAACCCACCAATCTCCTCATCCATCAAACCAGCCATCCCAGATGAGGAACCAGCCAAGAGGCCTCCTCCAGGCTCGCCTGTTGCTCCATGTCCCCACATCAACACCCCCCACGTGTCACTGACCACCACATCCCATGGGACACTGATGAGATCCCAGCCATCCCAAGGTGCAGGACACAGAGGCAGGAGGGCACAGGGCATGCACAGACAGGTTGGGAGTACCCACAGGGCCGGGCTCCCTCCTCTCACCCACATCCCCCCACTACAAGGGAATTAAGCAAAGCACCAAAAGATTAAAGAATATGTGGAAAGACTCAAAAGCCGAAGAGGAAAAAAAATCCCAGGCTGATTATTTTATTTTCTCCTGACAGTTTGAGCTACAATGGCCAATAAATCCCAATTACGGATTTTAAAAATGCTTCCTGCAGACACTTAGACCATCAAGGCAATTCTGGGCTCCCATAACTCCCGGTTTATGATGGTCATACATGTCAGTTTTCCACAGAGC